TTCACCAGACGTGCTTCAGACTCTGCCAGCGCCAGTCCAGATTCCAATGCTAACCCGTGCTTTCCACCCTTCTGCACCCAAGCCACTTGAAGGTGCAAACAGCCGTAGTTTCTTTGTAAGCACAGCTGGAACTGCGCGCCGTCCCCTGCTTAACTTATGCGCTTACGCAGTCTTGTCTGTTATGTGCTCTTCCCTATGCTGCCTTCTCACGAGAAATCGGGGAGCTGACAACCCCGGCACACGGCAAAGAGGGCTCCATTGCTCGAGGCTTTTCGTGCACGAACTTCGCAAAGCCAGGGATGGCATTCTCACACAGTGTGCTGGTCTGCGGACGAAGGTGCTGGCAAGTGCTTGGAGCATCTCACTGTTGATCTCCTTGTTGCAAAGTTGACTTGTGTCAGGCACGGTCTGGAAGACAACAGGTGTGGAGGACATGGGTCAGGCAGGCTCATTTCAACTACATCTCCCACCGAGAAAGGAAAGAGCCCATGCAAAGGGCCCTTGTTTGTCAGCTCCTACACCCTAAGCCCCAAAGCCCAGGGTCATCCACGTCGATCTGGCTCGGCCTTCGAGTACCAACCTCCGGAGTAAAACTGGGTCTCCAATAGTGTGCCATTGTAATACAATCGAGTAGTATAAACTATAAACTGTAATCTTCTTCGCAAGGCCTTTCCTTCGGGCCACTCTGAGCTCGAAGACTTGTTGCTGAAACTGCTGCCACGAAATCGTGATTGTGACTATCGCAAGACATGGTTGAACAGGTACACTGTGTTGTTGAAGGCATGCATGTATGAATGGATGGATGGCTGGATGTGCATACACTGCTATGCACATCTAACTATCGATGCATGTAGCCATCTATTTATTTATCTATCTATCTGTCTGTCTCTACATACATGTATGTATGCTTATGTTCGTGGTTGTGCGTCTGTATGTGCACATATAACATGCGCACGTATAAAGGTACGGCAGGCCCGAAACACCAGCATCAGCGCTGGATAGCCAGCGGCCCCTCTGAACACATGCTCGTGTGTCTGAGCTGGCACTACGCCCCTGCAGCATGCCATGCAAGATGAGAGCCGCATCAATGAAGGAAAAAATCTGGGATGTAGCCGAGTAGTTTGCCTCTCCATGCCCCCTAGACTTTAAGGCCCCGGGCTAGCGGATGTCTGGGTTCGTAGCGTTCGTTCTTTCTGTTCTTGCGTGCCTGTGATGTTTGTTGTGTGCGGTTTGCATTGGAAATAGCACTGCTAGGAGTTTTCTACCTACTAAGCGAGGAAACCTGCCAGTTTGCAAGCGGCAAATGTTGCTTGCTCACCACACATATGTTTATCAGTCTTGTCTCGTCGGATTAATCCTGCTTCCTTGGGATGATTTTTGGACAAACTGTTGCAACCAATTCGTCTATGTACTCCAAGTGATGAAACCAAACCCAGTCGTAAAGAAAACTTCTGTTTTCCCTTACAGTTATATCTTGTCAGTCGTATCTCAATTTTCTGCGTAGCTTGATATTCCAACGTTGAGAACGCCTACTGTGCTATTGTTACCCCGATAGAAGCCACGTCATCTTCCACAGTATGATTCCTAGATGAGTGACACGTGAGTGCCTGCTCGCTTCATCTGTATATAGATTGCCTTCTCTCTTGTAAACTCCATGTACTGGAACGGTCAGATGCAGCACGGCCTTTCCGCTAAAGTCGCGGGAATATGCATATGGTCCCGGGAATATGCGAAGTCTGACCAAAAACACTGCATGATTACTCAAAAACCGGAAAAAAACGGATACCTAGGACGATCTATTCTCTTAGTCCTTGCTTGGCTTCGTTGCAGCTTCGGTCTTCCTGAAACACCTCAACAATCGAAATGTTGGATTTAGGTGTTGATGAAGTACTGATGAAACAGATGGTGTTTATTGTGCAACGGGACCCTCCCAAAGTTTATAAACCACAACACTGGTTTATGAACCCAGGTCTTTCGAACCTTCAAAACATTCAGTTTACCAATATGACGGTTAGAGCCGAAACCAGTAAACCAACAGACAATTTTCACCATTTCACCAGCCGATTTGATCCTTCAGGTGGTTTGGTACCCAAACCACCTTTCATGTCCCTCATGCACCATTTCATCAACTGCCTTGGTCTTATGAGGTGAGGAGGACTGACCAGATGGGGTGGTTGCGCACCCGAAACCATTACACCATTTCACCAATTAATTTGGCACTATGTCTGAACCCACGAACCATTTCACCAATTGGTTTGGCCCTAACCCATAAACCATTGCACCAATTGGTTTGCCCTAGCCCATAAACCAGTTCACCATTTCACCAATTAGTTTGGGCCTAACCCATAAACCAATTCACCATTTCACCAATTAGTTTGGCCCTAACCCATAAACCATTTCACCATTTCACCAATTGGTTTGGCCCTATGCAAATGGGGACGCCTGACCGCATGGGGGGGGAAATGAATGGTGAAATGGTGAATTGGTTTATGGGTTCGGGCCAAACTAAGTGGTGAAATGGTGAAATGGCGAACTGGTTTATGGGTTAGGGCCCAACGACTTGGTGAAATGGTGAACTGGCTTGTGGGCTAGCGCCAAACTAATTGGTGAACTGGTGAAATGGTTTTTGGGTTAGGGCCAAACCAACTGGTGAAATGGTGTATGGGTTCAGACATAAGGCTAAACTAATTGGTGAAATGGTGAATTGGCGACGGGTCCTGACCATATGCGAACTGGCTGAGGGGGTTTTGCAGGACAGCGAGGAAATCCGGGGGGATATAACATTACCCATATATATATATACACACACACACATTTGCATATGCATGGTGTGTGTGTGTGTATATGTGTATATACATATCTATATATATATACATATACATATGTGTGTATACATATGTATATGTACCCAAAATTTCCGGGTGCGGTTGTTCGCCTGCTCATATTTACACATGCATGCAAATCGCTCTCCTTGTGTGCGTGAATATGCACCGACACGTATCCGCAAGATAAACAAATCCCAAAAAAAAAGAGTTCAGGAATCTAAAAACAAAATTTCCTTACATTTACACATACATGAAGGATCATGAAGGATTCCATCCGTGTGCAAAAATTCTTCGCTCACGACCCCAACCCGATGCTTCACGAGAAGATGCCGATGCTTCTGCCTCGCATACCCCACAGACAACGCTTGTCGATGCATTTTGGGATTGTGCAGGCTTGGCGTTCCAGAGTGTATGCATGAACCTCAAAGCGTTAATGTCTTGTCCCGTCGCCTCTAGTGCAAGAGCACAGTGTAGCCGTAGCTGCCATTCGATCAAAAAGACCAAGTGCACAGGATAGCACAGCCGTCGCATTGCTTCTTCTAGTGTTACTAACGAATTCATATGGACAAAACACCACACTATCGTTTCATCTGAAAAAGGCTCGTTTGCGCCCCTGCCAAAGCAACAGCACAAAGCTTGCTTTTTGATGAAGCCGGTCCTCCCCCGAAGAGCCATGAAAGCAAACTACTGCTCCGACCAAATCAGAGCAAGCTCTCGTGAGGCCTTCATAGGTTTGGCGGCTTCCTGGAACCGCAGTAGAAGAAAACTGGCAAAAAGTACATATTGGTCAAAAGAGGGAAGTCACAGAAGAGGAAGCTGTCAGCTAAACTGGCTTCTTTTCAGACCACCCGCCACTGAAAAGCTTTGTCAAGACTGGTGCGGCTCATAACACTCAGCCACATGGCTAGACTCAGAATCCTTGCAAACTCAGTGCTGGAAGACCCAGGGAGTGGCAGTTGGCTTGGGACTTCTCATGTTTGAAGCTTTCTTCCTGTTTCCTCCACGCAGCAACTCTGGGCATGAACACTCGCAGACACAACCAAAGCTATGCGCAAGCAGCAGCCTCAGTGTGCCGGTTCTCGGTGTCCCCCAGCTCCTGATTTGTTTAGGTTTGGGGCTCTCAAACCGCACATGGAAACATTCTGAAACTATGGCCGCACCACACCCCGGAAGAGTGAGCGGCTTTACCGGCTCCCATGCCATGCAGGGGCCTGCAAACTAAACAAGGGTCTGCATCGTCCAAACATCGGATTTGCCCTCCCGAAACCCGAACGTCCACGCCTCTGGCAAAAGCAAGCCACCTGTCCGGGAAAAGGATCATGTTTTTCGTGATATATAAGGTACTGAGCATTGTAAACCGACAACTAGAAGCATTAACTCTCACGTTGAACGTCGAGGGCTGCCAGAGTTCATGCGTCGAGAGGCGGCAAGAACTCCTGAGAGATGTGCGGGGTGAAGCCAGCTTCAACCGTTTGCCCAAGCTCTCCTTCTTTGAATCCCCTGCTCTTTCTGAGGATCTCGAAATGAGCCACGACAAATGCTTCTGGCGGCGGGAGGCCAGTCTATGAAACCATAAACGCTGAACCCACATTTTCTGGAAAGCCCCCAATGCTCCCACAATCACCGAGGCCTGTCAACTCGATGTTTGCATCCTGGCGACCTGCCGTCGCTAAAACTTCACACAAGCATCTTTAAAAACCCATGCATTCCGGTGCACACTCCTACAATTCAACAAAGCCAGATAGGGTCTCTCTGTTCGCAGTCGCATACAGGGGCATGCAAGCTCGGCAGTACAGACGAGGTTCAGGCTTTCCGGTAAGGGCATCGAAATAGCACCCTCCAGCCTCTCTCTGCGTGCTCTGCCTTGGCACGACGAAGTACATCGACGGCCTGTCCCCAGACTCAGCGGCCGATCCTAAACTCCCAAATCTGCCATCTGGGGGCTGTAGCATGTCAATGCACGGGGGCGCGTTAAAGGCACGGAGCGTACAAGTAGCTTCAACCAAAAGCTCAAAATTCATGTCCAGGCAGCAGGACTTGTAAGCACGTACATGTGAAAGGCCCTCGAAACCCTTGAACGACTAAACCGGACCATGTTTCGTCGCCACACTCGGAGACAAGACCGAGTTTGGTGTAAGATTGCTCCACAACCCTTCACCATTGCTCGCCACCGGCCTGTGTGGAGTTCGAGGAACCTGGGTGGCTTAGGGCAGAGGGTCAGCTTCCGTAGCTGCCGTGAGCCTCTCGACATATGCTTGGAAAGATAGATGCAGGTACGATTTCAATTATAGTGAAACAGATAGAACGAATAGTCAGACAGGCGAACACACGTGTTCGTCTTGAGCAGAGGTACACATATGTGGTAGAGTGACAGGCTCACAAAACTCTTTCTGCACCGGAAGTACATCGGAGCCAATTGATTCGAGAAAGCTGCCTCCAGACTTGATGCTTTCGCCTGGCAGACACCCGGTTTGCTCCCGTATGCAGCAAAGGTGCCATCAGCGTCCTGGTCTGCATGACTTGAGAAGTCAGCAAGGCAAAGGAAGGAAGCAGGAACAACATCCAGAGCTGCAACGCCCCCAAGAGTTGTGCTTCAGTCCTGGCTCCACGCGAACCCCTTGCCTGAAAGGGAATTTCACAACCTCTCGGGTCCTTCACGGCCTTCCTGTCCTCTCTTCCTCGGAGCTCGCTACGCACCGCCGACACGGCAATTGAAGGACTAGCCTCTAAGTCGCTCAAAGCCACTCTTGGCTTCGCCACGACAGCTCATAGGAATTCGGAGATGTCTAAAACACTACTCCTATCAATTCTCGACCTTCCAACAAGTGCAGGCAAGTGGCCCTTGTTCACAGCCTGGGCTGTTGGTTTCTATCAATAGCTCTGAAGCAATGCTGTACTCCTGCAGCAATTGATTGGTACTGAAATCAATGACTTCGTACTGTGACGCGCTTTGGTTCGAGTTCGTCTAAGCTGCAGCTGCGCCGGCTGGGGCGCTGCATTTATCCTACTCATTGTCGAAGATCCGTGTCAACGTGATGATGAAAGCCGGAACCATTTCAAGATCTCGAATTAGGGATGTTGGAGTTGGGCTTTCGCTACCTGCAGTCGTTCACGAATGTGAGCTTGCACCTGAATTTGTACGACCGGCTTCCTTCTACAAGCCGTGTCTCCTTACCCCATTGAGCCACCCGGCTAGTGCACGCTGGTTCCCAAATCGTGTAGAAGACCCTGCAGTCCGGCTCGTCGCGTGGCTTCTACGACCGAAGCAAGAACCCCCCCCCCCCTCGACATGTAAAAATTAAGTGGCCTCGTGTTTTGGGATTTAGCGGTTGCCGGGCTCAGGGCATACATCACAGGCTTCCGAAAGCAGCGGGAATCGCCGCGCAGGCTGAGGCGGTGACCGCCCGTGTCACGGACACCTGGGCTGAGCTTGGGAAGAGAACCTAAGCGCCTTAAGAGTCTTAAGGGCGCTTGAAGCCTCCAGAGCCTTCGCCCTGAAAGCTTCAACCGAAAAAAGCCTTCCGGAGCTTTGCTGCACAGGCACACTGTCCCCCAGACGCTTGACGGAACCATTGCCTGCGTGCTCCCCGAAGTGGCAGCAACATACAGGACAAGGGGGTCTATGCCAACCCTCGAAGAGCTGATGATAGGCAGATCCTGCAAACTCTTGCATCAACAAGCTGCCAAAGGGAACATGCCACTACTTTTCGAGGCCTCTCGGCATCAGACACGAAGAAGCTCCATGAACTGGGTTAGAAGTTGCCAAGTCCATTATCCGCCAAAAGCTGAGCACGGTCCGCTTTAAGTGTACAGCTATACCACCCAGGCCGAGGCTGACAGCTATATTTCTCTCGCATTGCGGTCCAGTTTGCCACTGCAGGTGCGTCACTCGTACGTCTCTTAAGTGCAATGTGCAAGCTGTCATGCTTGTTCATGTGGCTGCCCGTGCAATCCAAGAACCCCAGGCTCCGAAGCCAACTTCCTAAAACCGTTGAAACAAGTCAGTGCGCAAGGATCAAATGGCGAACCGGATGACCGAACACTTGTTGAACACAAGCCCCTTCTTGGCCATTGCCATGCCGATTTGGGCTTAGCCCCTGAACCCACCACCGCCTTGCAGAGCAGCTGACTCCTTCAAAGAAGCCAGCGCCTGCATCGCCTGCTCAAGTCGAAATACGGAGTGACTCTGGAGCACGGCTTCAAGGGCCGAGATTGCTTCATGGAGATTGCTTTTCCAGAGGGATGGGAGATGCCAGCAGAGCTCCTGAGCCTCAGTGATTCATTGAATCTCTCGCTCGTGCTTTACAGACCTTTACAGACCTTTACAGACCTTTACAGACCTTTAAAACAAAAAATGCATCCTTTTTGATTGCGACATAATTCACTCCATACCGCATACCCAAAATATTTCCGCTCTGTTTGTGCCTCTTGTTCACCCGAAAACACCGCAAGGTGAACCGCGAGGATGCCACCTCCAGCGCCTGGACGCTCTTCGGCCCGATTGTCTTGGACTGGAGCCTGGTTGAGTCTTTCGATTTGTTTGGACTCTCTCACGCTCCACTCTCCAGGCGCGGCTCAGGACGGGACGTGCTCCTGCTGCTAAAGATTGACTGTTACGAGATTGCATTTTATAGAGCTGTATGTGTTCGTCGTCGCCGTGGCACCTGATGGAGCAACAGCGCAGAGGCAGCAGCAGGAGCACCGGCAGCACTGGCGACACTACGGCCAGGGGGACCGCAACATGGCAGCTTCCTCTGCCAGTGCTGTGTCGTTCAGGTTTCGGGCTGTGGCGAGATCAGTTTGTCCAGGATATTCGCACCGAGTCGCCTGATAACAACCTGAACGGATGCAACTTAACAATTCAATCGCTGCTTCGCACACCTGACACTGCGACCCACAGTTCGACTGAAAAGCTTACATGCTCATACCAGAGACACACAAGCTAGGTAAACGAGGAACTCCGATTGGGTCGCCTTGCTTGGGCACTGTACTCAATGTGCTTGCGTCGGACCCAGAAACCCCAGCCTTGAAACGAAAGCACAAGAACCACCGAAATCAAAACACTACTTAGTCCCGGAGGCACCCAAGCACTCACCTTGACAAGGTCGCCTCGCCATCCTACTCCGACGATGACCTTTGCACGCGATGTGCGTGTTGCAACACTCAGCCCGCAGCTCTACCACCTGGTTCAGCTCGTGCACGGCCTCCCCAATAAAGGAGGATTTCCCGCGTTCGGCTCGTCAGGCAGAGGGGCTTTCAGGTGTTCTTGAGAGGTGTGTGTTGCTGTCTCGTACTCGGAAGACCCTCCACCCCACAGCTTGTGTCGGCTGGATCGCCTGGTCCAGGTCGCCGAGAGAGGCAAGAACCTTCCCCAACCTCAAGTGCAACAGAGGCAGGGTCCAAGTCCGTGCCACGAGCTTCTGCCGAACAAGGGGTGGTTGATTTGAGAAAGCTGTAGTGTCCTAGCCAAGTCGGGATGGCGGCTCGGAGCCGCTCTTGGTAAGCATGGACACCCCTAATAACACCCTTTCACGACAATTCCTGCAATGCGGCATCCACCGTTGTACCACTGTCGTGCTGGTCGCATGCTCCAACACTCCCCCTTGTTCGGTTCGCCGTCTCGAGAGCACGTGAGTCGAGGCTCTGCTCTCACAAGCTCTGCTCATCAACACGTCCGACCGCATGTTCCGAGGCTGCATAGCGAAGAGGCTGGTGTTCTTCTACCGCGAAAACGGCATCCGGGAAGTGCAAGAAGCGAAAGCGGGTTGCTGGAAGAAAACATGAGCAGGTCGCTGCCCCTTCTTCGTCTGCCTGCTCTCTCTCTCTCTCTCTCTCTCTCTCGCTCTGACTTTGGGACGCGCTGGTCACAGCGACGAACAGAAGCAAGTGTTCCTTACGGGGATTTAATATTGAATTGGGGCACAGGTGAGATGAACCGACTTGGTTCTCGTCGCAATTATGTGCGAGGCTACTGTTTCTGGTCAAAGACAAGAGGATGGCCTGGCAGGCCCCCTCGCACGCGACCACGTGTCCACTACTGGTCGTGACACCGTTCCGTTGGAAGCCCCTCTTGTGCCATTCTCTCCATATCTAAGTATATCTCAATCTCTCGACTCCTTTCAGAGAAGGCAGGGCAAGCCCAGCAGCCCCTGCACCCGAGCAGAGTGCACGCTTCCTGTTCGGCACTGGTCGGGTTCCACCTCTGCTCCGGCTCTTTGTTCTCCATCTTCGTCTTACACGTGCTACTCCGTGCGCCTCGAGCTACAAAGTGGCTACCGGCTACCTGTTCTCTGCCTCTGTCCGTCACTCCTATCGTTTGCTTGCCCCCGTTGGGGCTCAAGTCAGCTTGCATCCAGTGCAAGTCGGCGTGAGACTATCGAGGATTCTCCCCCGCTTTACACTTTTGCCCCCGCCTGCATCCCGAACCAAACCGAACCTAACACAGCACTGCCTCACACCTACCTGCCTGCCTGAACACCCCGACCCTGAATCCTGTGCATCCCCGCGCAAGCAGCGTCACCCCCCTCTCTTTCTCTCCCTCCAGTCGCTCCTGGCTCTGCAAAAGACGTGCCCGCAGAGGATTGTGACTTTCATGTTCACACATCTCCAACCGCAGCCCGGCCAAGCAAAATGCGGTCCAGGATCAGCTCACGGCAAGCGATGGTCTCGCTGTGATCCTGGCCGAGCCTGAGGAAACGTTTCTGAGACAATGATCGGAGTAAAGAACAAAACTGGCCACTCAACACGTGGGGCATCACCGAAACACCAAGAGCTGTGTGTGTGGCCCATCGGAATTTGAAGCGGGCCCTCACTAAGTCTCGCTGCCAAGACACAGCGGCTGCATGTCCTGGAGCTTTGGGGCAACTGATTGTGATGCCAAGTACCGATCGGATCATGAAGTTGCAGTTTCGGTTTATGGCTGTCGAACCCACACTCTGAACCCTGGCGACATGACAACAGTCAACTAGCGTCATGGCCCTGCCACGACTGCCCGCACTCCATTAAACAGGCTTTGGAAACCCTTTCAGCAACCTTGTAGTAGCCCTTATGGAAACCGGAAACCCAAAGACCCTGCAGCACCCGCGGCCTTCTTCGCCTCCTGCAGCAAGGCATGCGCCTCCACGAGCTGCTGTTCGGAGCCCAAGTCACGCAGGTGCCTTTCTTGAGGCGGCTCTATAAGTTATGAGTTATTACTCTTTATTATTCTTATCATTCTTAGTATTGCTCTTATTGTTACTAGTATTCATCCATTTGCACTATACTTCTTTACAGGTCAGGAGGCTCGGGCCCACAAGAAAAGGCTGCTGGTTCCCTTTACGGCAGGGTTTTTTTGCTTCTGCGGCGGCATTCGGAAAGCGGTACTTTCACAACAGCCTGAAGCTGAAGCGAGCCATGGCCAATTTCTCCGTAAAGGATTGATCTGCTGCGAGGTCTTTCAAGGACAGTCCCATGCTGCGAACGGCCTCCTGTGCCTTGACTCTTAAAAGCTCCCTGCCTGCCTTAGTTACGAAGGCTCCCCAAGGGGCGCACCCTGCTAGAATCCGCGCCGAGCGGAGCGTGTCGATGTGGTTGGCGCCCAGCTTCTCTGCCCGAAGCCTTGGCTTTAGGCAGCGATGGCTATGTCTTACACTCCTTGAGGCGCACGCCGATACATGTCACATATCACCCCGAGACAATGCAGGATGGCATCATGTGCCCCGAGACAAGTCATGCCACGATACTATCCTCGCTTTGCCTCTGAAAACCCTCAGCACAGCCCGTCGGAGCCTCAGACCAAATTCAGGGCTTCAGCTCGATGGCCCAGCCACTGGAAGACCTTGCGCGCCTGCTGCTCAGCCTGACTTGGTGTGCTTTGGGACTTCGGTTGCTGTCTGCACTCCGACGATAAACTGGACTGGGGTCCTCAAAAGCACAAGTGCAGCATAAAACTGAAGCCTAGCACCAAAAAAAGCATTCATGGAGGGGTAGCTCGGAGGCCATCTCACTCAGGACTCGGAACCATTTCAATCTCGCACTCAAACGACACCGATTGCCAACCGCATCCGACACCGAGCAAAAAGAGCAGCGACACACACCCAGCCAATGAAAAACCCACGCAGAATAAACACCTAATCATGTACTCATAGACCAGCCTTTACCATTCATCGTTAAAGTGTATTACCACGCAAAATTGTGCCAGCTGCGGCAACAGTAGACGGTGCATATGTATCACTAACATGTTTGTGTGTGTGTTGACGGTACATTCAGGCATCCACTGGTTTGCTTCAACGCTTCAACTAGCTGTCCATTCAGCTGGTCAGCACTAGTCTACGTAAAGCAAACAATAAACACACACACACACACACTGTACATATATGTGTATATATATCTATATGGTTTTTTGTATCATAACAACATGCTATACTCTGACTGTTATACAATATGGTACAACGCGCTACATACATATACAGGATTTTCTGATACAAACTACTCAAATAAGAGCAAGCTCTATGCTTAAGTATACATATATATATATGTATGTGTACATATACCTATGCATGTGTGTATGTGCGCGCATCGTGTGTGTATATGTGTGTGTGTGTCTGTGTGGTGTGTGTGTGCGTGTGTGTGTGTGTGTGTGTGCGCGTGTGTGTGTGTGTGTGCGCGCGCGCGCGCGGGCGTGCGT